GTGTTAGTGACGTATTCGACCTACCTGAAGTCTGGCAAGAATTCCCATGTTAATGAGAAAGTAGGCTTGTGGCTCCGGGCCATGGACTTCGAATGAAATATGTGGGAAAGAGGAGAGAGAGAGAGAATACGGTCCAGAGATGCACACAACGGGGGCAGGAAAGGTTGTCAAACAAAACAGTATGCAATAAACACGTTGTCTGTGAGCAAAATGAGACGTGGGACCGATAGTGAAGAACAAGCGCGGAACTTGCTGGAATGAGATTTGCCTTCCAACAAATTCAACGCTTTGGAAACCTAACACTACTTGTGATAGGCACATCCGTGACGGACAGCCAGACAAACGTCAGGAAGAGTAAGGTTTGGCTGACCACATGGTCTGATTTGAGTAGATTATTGCGTCACAAGTTCATAAAGGATGTTATCGGTGACTAATGAAACAGTTTCAGTTTGTACAAATCACTAACCATGCAGTTTCGTGCGGCGGTTTTGGTTGCTATCTTTTGGCTGCCCATTCGGACCACCTGACATCAATTCCGGATAATAAACACAGAATGTCACACACACACGTCTGCTGAAGTGCACAAGCATTTCGATCGAGGACTCAGTGACACGGTAGTGGGGTTCGCTAAAAACGATTGGTAAGGCATGAGATGTAACGGGGAAATACTACTTATCAGAGAACAGGAAGAGCAACCAGTAACGCGGGGTAAGCCATGATTCGGGGAATATCATATCCATTAAGTTGTTTTATTTAGACATTATCATCATCGTTCAGCGAAATACAGTGAAGCGAAGTTCGCTGATCGCTGCCAAACTCGTAATGCATACAAGACTAGTGGTAAAATTTAAGGTGGACAGGGATTGGACCTACTTTGAGGAAGGGAGAAGAAGATGAACCACGATGATCAACACAGAGTGCACAATCGACAACATCAAGGTTCATATTCTAATCAGGAAACAAAGCAGGTCAATAGGGCTCTCATCGAAAAGTTTTGAGCATACTACTACAGTAATACCAGAGAACATTGCGCAGTTTATGGCTAGCCTCAAATGTTTTATGAGCACATAATAATTTAGTCTGTCGACCTCTTTTCAGTGTGACCAGCGGATGTGTTACTCTATCACGTGTAATCGCATACCCTTGCTGAACAGATTGACCGTGAGTTAACCAAAATCGTGCGTGCAATGATGGCGGCCGGTAATCGAAACACTAAACCATAGAATCATTCCGGGGCAACCGATGATGTCCAGAATACGTCCCGAACATGTATAGACAGCCCCATAGGACGAAATTATCACGTTTTTAGCCAGAGTGACTATTCTCGCTACTGATCAATGCATGCATAAAATGGCACCGGACCACGAGGGACTCTCAACAGATATGCGGGTTTGTTTGCATCTAGCACAACGGTTGGTTTCCCACAGGGTCGGTGCACAATCGTAGCCCATGAGGAGAACATAAACTTTGAGTTTCACAATGACAGACACCATTTTCCACTGTGCACGAAATAAACTAGACAGATACCCTCCTGAACATGAATTAAAAATGTCAGTTTTAAGTGTTCTATTTGATGGCTCTTATTACTGTTGATTTCCGTCTTCAAACCAAAGAAAGAAATCTCTATAAAAAATGCTTAGGTTGGTTACACGCATATATATATATATATATATTCACACACATCTGAGTTCAGACTGTGCCAAACAAATCGCGGTACAATAATTTTTATAAACAGAAAAACGTTCCACAATGTGCATGTGGGCTGAATACTGCCAGGTTGCCCAGACCACGGCAGGTGCATTTTCATGGGGAATCCACAACCAGAGGCTTCGGCTAACCAAAGCCTGACCCGCAAGGTAGTGGGACGGTGTGTGAAAACCGTAGTCCATTGGGAGCCGGTGCCCAGTTTATCGCCTTTCGGACGGGGTCAAACGTCCAAGGAGCCCAATGCACCTCGACAACCAACTGAGCCGGTGATCACTGCCACAACCGGAAGAGTGTGTGTAGTTTGCAGGTCTCTTCTTGGTTGGTTTAGAATCTGGGTATTTGGCCAACTCCCCTGGGTGAAATGCCGGTGGTATATATATATGCGAGGGCTGAACAAAACGAGTCCGGATACGCAGTATACGTACTAGGTGCAGATGACCTGGCAAAAAAAACGTGAACTGTAATCTATTGTGAATATTGTTCAGTGACTGCATTTCACAAAACCAAATGTCAACAGTTGCGCGCAGCTCACAAGTCATAAGGATCCCTATGATCGGACTGTAAGGATGGAACTCAGTCGATGACACTGGAGGGCGATGATTTTGTACAACTACACATGTGATTTAAAGCAGCAGCAGAGCTGACTTTGGTGATGGTGCGCCTTCGGAATTGAAGTCCGGAATCCAGTACGAACCACCAACATTTGCAATGAAGGCCTTCATTGAACTGGTCGAAGGGTTACCAGCATCGGCATGGTCGAGATGTTTCACCAAATGGTTTGGACGCATGAAACTGTGCATGAAGGCTGATGGAGAATAATTCGATGCAATATAAGGCTTATTTTTGTGTAACAAATAACACATTTTGTGCATCTGGAAACTTTTTGCTCAGCCCTCGTAGACCGTCAGTTATTGTTTTTCCGGGCCTTCAGCTTCCGAGGTCTATTTAGAACTGTTTGTGTAAAAGAGACCTGTGTGACAAGCGGAGACGACTAAATTCGGCCATAATCGAAGTATTACACTAGGTTATAAATGTTGACCTAAAGACAGGGGGAAAAAGAGACAACATACCTTCGAGATTGGACGAGGTAATGCGTCGATGAAATAACGAGAAGTCCACATCACAAGTCAGATCAATATTTCCCGGATCCTCTAACGGATCACAAACCTGATGATTGCGAAACCCCTGAACAGGGTAGAGAGTGTATTTGTGTAGTTAGAAACGAGGGGATAAACAACGAACCCACCCGTAAAGTCAGCTTTTTATCTCCCGAATGTCCGTAGTCCACAATCAGAGCGGCACCCTTATCAGTCTGTATGCGGTGACAAATTTGATCCAGAATGACCAATGAACGTGGAGCTATTTCAACACAGTCTCGATGGGTCAGATCACCAGCGAGCTGGAACAGAAGGCATGGAAGAATATCGGTTCCACCGATGACAAACAAGTATGGCATACATGAACTCAAAACGATGGGGAAGAAAGACGTGTGTGTACGATAGATTTGTGTGACACATGTCCTTACACAAAGACAGCGTTGTTTCCCAAAGGAGTTTGCAGACTCGAACCTCGAATAAGTCGGCTACGTGGTTATTCCCAGCATATTGGCGCTTTAACGTCATGCTGGCAGCAGTACCAAGGATGGATGTAGGGTGCTATACCATCGCGGTCAAGTACTTAAACAAGTCATTACGAAGGTTGCGCTAAGCATGTCACCAGATAGATAGTCTCCCGAGAAGTGTGGTATTCGTAGAAGCGTCTAGTGAATGAAAGAAGACCAAGCGTGATCAAACTAAGATTTGGTCATGCAGGTATCCTCAGGTTCCTCGGGACCAGGTTTGTCGATTACGAGAGCCACTGCGCTATAAACAATAGCGTTTTTGTATCATAATCAAGTTATAATCACACTAAGTACGCCTACATTATGCACCTTCATTTTGGCATTGCTTCCAGCTTTTTGCGTCTTCCGTTTACACATCCATCATTCGTTTCATTAGTCCCACAGAACACATTGAGAACGACAGCGTAACGAACAAGCTCGTTTCAAGTTATTCGTAATCATGCCATTACATAACATTAAATATGACTAACAATAAGAACGAAACAAGAAATGACAAATTCGAGTCCTAATGATTCAGCTGTGGCTCCAATCACGCGTGCGTGTTTGTGTTAAATTGATCACTGTGTCAAAAGTCCAAATGATTGCGCACATCCATCATTGTTCGATTAAATGAGCAACCGAAAGATGACACCCAAACCCGGTGAACGGAATTACAAAACTAATAGTTGGGTAAACTGAAACTTATGGGGCATTCAAAGGTAGGTCAGTGACAAATTAACGAAAGGTTTTAGAACAATATCAAACAGTGCTATGCGGTTATCTGTTGGGAATGTTTTAGGAAACTGAACGTACCGGAAGGTAGGCCGCTTGAGCAACACTACGAGTGGGCGAATTGATAAAACAGAATCCCCGTTCACCATGCACGTCGGAATCGTGAACCGCAACTAACACTTCGCGCCAGTCCATTTGCGTTTTCTATGATGGAGCGGACAGAAAATTAGCATCTTTTTGAAGACGTTAGAAAAACTTACTCGAAACTGATGAACTGGAAGAGCGTCGAAAAACTCGTGAGCCAACACAAATGTAGGAAGCCCGGTAGGAATGTTCTGAAAATCATCATGCCAACTGACCGGCGGTGGATCACGACCGGCTCGAGATGCAGCTTGTTGGATCGCATCGGTTTGCATAACACGCATGGTGGGACTGACCTCGACCAGGTGAATTGAGACAGCTTCGTACAATGAGGGAAATCTGGTAAAAACCTACGGTAAATGGGAGCAAAGATACAAGAGTTTTTGTTGTCACTTGAGAGCAGTTTAAGACCGAAATCATAATGTCTATTGTTGTCGCTTGAGCAATAAACGGCAATTGATGAAGTCGTTTTCAAATGACAGAAATCAATAAAATGAAACTGCATATGTGAAAAACTGAAATTACGATGAAGTATTTACAGATAACTGGTACAACAAAATATGCATTCATGGACTGCTCGTCTGGCTAATCAAAACAACAGTGACAATGATGGGGATATAGCTTTCCTATCATGCACAGTCTGTAGTTACTTCTCAAAACTAATTTGTTACCGTAGCCTAGTCATAGCAGGAAATTGTTTCAACGACACCCTCCCCATTTTTACTTCCGTGTCGCAGAATAATTATCACATCCACTCAAGCGCAACTGGCAGAAAATGAGCTTATTTAAAACCGTTTTTCCCTCGTGCTTTGTCGAATAGCCCAATTGGAGTGGTTCGATTGTTGCTCACGGGTAATACCACTGATCTATTTCAACCCTTCAGCTAGCTTGCCCCGAAAAAATCATGAATGGACTGACGTATGTTTGTGTGTCTGCTCGTCTATGAATAGTGTGCACACAAACAAGTCATCCCCGGTTTGAACTGATTCTGTACACTCCCGGTTCGACAAATCTTCATGACACGTGCCCTGTTTTTTGACCGAGGCCGGATATTCTCCGTGTAAGTATTCGCACACCGTACCCGTTCAGATTGTCAACTGCCTTTCACAAGCAACCCTGAATACAAAGCCGATAATTTCGCTTATCGTTGCATATCTCGCTTTTAATTTTTCAGTTGAGATGGTTGAAGTTTCTGTTTAAGGTTTCGTTTACCTCAAAATTCACTATTTTCGATTTCCCATAGACTAGCACTTAAAAAGCTAATCATGCTCTTGAGAGATTTTGACAATCATAACAGAGATTGGCTTGCACGCTCGACGCGAGTGAGGACAGGCACAAACCTCGAGGACGAAGCGGAATCATTCACTCTGGTCAACAAATTGTTTTGTTTTCCCCTCTTTCTCTCACACACAATTGAGTGAAGAACAGTGAGACGAGTGAATCCCAAGATCAAGAGGACTCCTCGGTTCAGTTATCGAAATCGGCAACCGGGTACTTGGACTAGCGAACCACATAGAGGCCCATTAGGATAGGCGTGGTATTGAGCAAAGCTGTAAGGAACCTGCCAAACAACAAATGAGTGATCTTATTCGGACGACCGAACGCGATGGTGGCCGTGCTCATATGCTTTAGTTGAGTGGTAAACAATTTACGCTGTCTTCCATCGCCTAGCTTCGAAGCGTTACATGGCTTACCCCCAACCCACACACACACAGTTTGTCTAACTGGGTTGTCGGTTTTCAGTTATTCCACGTAGGTAACAGAACCCACTCAGTTTTACATTCAAAGCTACATTTATCAACATCCACGACCTCAACGAAAACAGTGATCCTGTTCACCATTTTATTCATCCCGGGTGTGCCGCCACACAGAACCTTTTTAGAAACCCAGCTGAATGTGCTGATATTCCTTTCTTTTCGTATGGGTAAACTCGAATCAGAGATCTTCTAAACATGTCAAACCATATTAATTACCGATACACTCCTCTGTCGGAAGGCAACATTTTTAGGCATTGTGACGTTATCTGCAACTGTCTGCATTGTCAGCTTGATAATGAAATCCGATTCAATTTATTTAATAGTAAGATGATGAAGACGGCAGGACGGCTATTCTTCGTACCTTCTGCCGAAAACGTTTGTATATGCACTGCCTTGCGCTTCACTGAAGTCACAAACAACAAGAAGAGAATGGAAAATCAGTTCAGTTCAGTTTGTACAACCATTTACCATGCAGCTCCAAGCGATGGTTTTGGTTGCTATCTTTTGGCTGCTTATTCGGATGAACAGCAGGAGAAAGACAGGAAAGTTGAAAGTAGAGTTGAACAGAGAAAAGAGGATTTCAGTGGTCTAAGGTTGCAAAGAAATTGAGAAGATGCACGAACGCCACTGTTTACGACACTCAGCCATATTACTCAGTGTCTGTAATCATCGGTTACGATCATCCTAAGGTCCCCATCCGTGGAGCCTAAGGGGACATATGTGACCCAGTACCCTGGTTAGGGATTTCATACACTTAGGTTGACCACTATTGGCTTTTTTCCACTCACTACCTGCCTCGGCAAGCATCGCTCTCCGTGGCAACCCATTTGGTGACATGAATAACACATGCCCCAGCCAACGTAATCTATGGAGGTCGACCATTTGCTCAACACACGTGACCAGACATTGGTGCGATGCAAAAGAAACAGTCGGTACAAAAATAGCACAGCGTTGAGCATGAATCACTCTATCATATCACCTGTGGGGAAACGAACGGTAGACAAATGCAAGCTGTGAAAACCAAACCTTTCGATGAAACAGAAGACCAAGTTCGATATGCTCAGCCTCGAGTATTCGCGACATCCTCTGGGAAAATATCACATTTCTTTTAAAAAAAGCCCATTTTATTTGTTGTATGCAATTCGTGATAATGCATTATACGTTGTACAAAACGGATGTCAATCCTAATTATGAGAATGTTCAATTACCCAAGTGTTTCAAAGTGATCAGTAACCTCATTTTCGACGGGTACTTTACGTGAAATCGGAGGATGATCTAGATAGCAGGGATAATTGCAACATAAGCTATAACTATCGGCTTGAATGAGACTATACTAGTCTCAAAATGGTGGCGGTGGGTGTCCTGAGTTGTAGCTGGTCACATGCAACCCACGAACTGCTCCTAGAAGACCAAGCGTCTCAAAAAGCCTCTGCTGAGGAAGCCCTACTTACTGCCTTCTCGTCGAGGAGGTAGTTTTCCATCAAAGTGAAGGAACTTTGATAGTTCAAAGTCTTTCGATCGTGTTCGGCACGAAGGTCTGTTGTCAAAAGTGCCCACGTTCGGATTCCACCCAGCTCTTATATCGCGAACGCAATGTTTCTTTAGTAAGTGAACTATCTCCGCCCGAGTCAAAGAGGTCCTATCTCGACCGTTCCCTTTGAATGCCTGTGTTCCCCCAGGGTTCTATATTTGCACCCATCCCACTTCAATGTATTAACGATTTTGTACCCAAAGCTTCCAAGTCCATTATTTGTTTCATCGATGATGCCAGACATTTATTCTTCTTTTTAATACCCTACGACACTCTAGATCACCAATAACATCGGTAACGACCTCAAAATCATTAGCTTGTCACTTGGCACCGATCTTGGATTTATCTTGGTATGGAGATCTTCCAACCAAGTTTGTTTCGATGTCTCAAAAACACATTCCTTTTAATAACTCCTATATACGTCTGTTTTTCTCCTCAACTGAATCCATTACTCTCTTTTCCTTCGCTTCACTGGTTTTATATCTCGTGGGTCTATTCAGCAATCCTTCTTTCTCTCTATTGGTCTCCGTTTGTATTCACTATTGCACGCACTCGGTTTCCATTTCCGCATCAGGCACTTCTTTACACCCACCCATTACTTTCTTTTATACGAAAATGAAATCCGACTAATGCGCGAATATTGTAATCAAGTGTGTGGTGGAGCTTCGAATTCTTCTTATTCTCTCCCTGACTGGGTTCAACGTAAAACTATCTGTTTGGTCGACGAACCGGCTTTAACCTCCCATTTGCAGTCACTTTCGCATTGCAGGACAGTTGCTTTATCATCTCTTTTCTACCGTTACTGTTCTTGTTTTCGTTCGTCAGAACTCACATCAGCAGTTCGCTGCCCCTCCCCAACTTATCTTTTTCCCCAGGCAATTCAATTTTTAACTGAACGCTTTTTTGTGATGAACAGCAAACGGATTGGACCTCATAATCGTGAATGCCTGCTGTTAGATAATGCAAACCGGCAACCTATGCCCCGGGACTTGGAGTGGCCAATAGTATAATGCCCCAACCACACGACAGCAAAGTCGGGTGGGTTATAAGGTCCCAAACACGCGGGTGATAGTAAGTAAACCACTGCAGGCGGCGAGCCACTCTCACCAAGTTCCCATCCTCAGAATTCGGACTTGTTTATTTTCAGTATCTCTCTCCGTGAACGCTGTGCAGCTTTCAATGTCATCACAGCACTCTACCGGTGGCTAGATGTTACTTTTCTGTCACTTGTATAGATAAAAATCTTTCGAAGACACTGAATTCTCCATTTAATTTATTTGGATGGCCACGTACTATATCGGGTTGTTCAAATGAATGAAGACAGGACAGGATTTCAAGCTGTTCTCGATCAGTTTTAGGGGTGGACCAACCAACGGATTCTTCTGAATAATGAGCCTAACTGCGTGTAGTTCCAATAAGAAAAGGTATATTAGAGAATCGCTACAGCCTCCGCACACTACTCCACAGGAGAATTCGAAAGAAGTGCGACTTTCTGGATGATCAATGCATTCACGTTGAAGCCGGCAGGTCAAAGGATGATGTCTGTGAAGTAGCGCAGCGAATGCTAGGGGCGATTAGGTTTTCGAGAGATTAATCTCCAGAGGGATGCACGCAATACTTGATAGTACAGGCGTAGCTGCTTACACATGCACGGTCGGAATGTACGACGTTTTGCGATTAGACGCACTCATAGCAAGCGAAACATTATAACTGTTGGTCCCATGCTCTGCGTCATTTCTCTGAGTCATTGTAGAGCCAGAGGCCATTATCTTCTTGTCCCTAATTCTATGAAAAGAACCTGGTCTAGGGTTGAAAACAATCTATCACATTTCGAAATTCGCAGTCCGTCCACTTATCCCCAGTTTTGTGACCCTGGAGCAGGGTGGTGGTTCTTTCCAGACTCATGTATCAGAAACAATGATAACAGGTACGTCATACAGGCGTTCTGCCCGGTTACAGAAAGTAAATGTCATGAAACAATTAAGCTAGGAAAAAATAAGGGATATAACTGAAAAGTGAATTAGGATATTTAAGAATGTCCGGGAATATAGGAAAAAGGAACAATGTGCAACTCACTCGAAGGACATCTGACATTAAGGTACCTCGACCTGGTCCTAATTCAACTAATTGAAAGTGTCGAGGTGAGTTTTGTGAAATCCATTCATTCGTTAACCAAACACCTAGAAGCTGGCACATTCAACGAGGTAAATTACGACTACTTCTCCGAAAAGCTGACTGATTTCAGGGGATGTAATAAAATCTCCACTCTTCCCGATTACATTCCTTTTCATATAATACCCCTGAAACAAAAAAAAACTTGTTGAAATTAACAAAATAACTAACGTGAGCAGGATTAATGAGGCATTCCTTCATATACTCTGCAACCGTTATTGGACCGAAATTAAGGATCCGCTGAGTTAAATGTTCTTTGAGTTCATTAGTCGACAACTTTCGAAGAACAGTCCTGGACAGATGACAAAGTGTAAAAGAGCGGAGTTTGGCATTCAGCATGATCTTGTAACAAACATTCGATGGTTCGAGATACACAAACGGTTGTGGTCTGAAATGAAGCACGAAATAAATATCAGCCAGCAAGCCAAGTACGTAACACAGAACCAACCAAACACCAACCGTTTTGATCAACTCATGACAATGAGAAGTGACTAGTCAGTGAACAGTATTGGGAAGATAATTACTCATCGGTGTCTGCATAAAGGGAATAATTAGGGGGATGTCTCTCGGGTCCGGATGTGAATGAGTGTGGGAAATGATTTGAGTGGCGTTCACACACGGAGGGTAAACGCGAGGGCAGCGACAATTACTGAAGAACGTAAGTATCGATGGTCCGGAATTCATTTTATGGTGTGCTCACTCCATAGTTAACCACCACTTCAAATAAAAATATGGGATTTGACATCAACAGAGTTTAATCAGGAGTCATCTCGTAAGGTTTGCGAGTGAGAGGAAGAAATAGAGAGGGAAATGAGGGTTTTCCAAATGGGTGTGTAAGACTTTAGGGCACGACATACTTCACGGTAGCCAACATCGACGAAGGGCTTTCTCTTTGGGAACCTTGACTGCGGCCTTTGACTCAAAAGCAGGACCAGCAGACAGCGGGTGTTACGGACAACAACAAGCGAGTACGGTCGAGATTAGAGAGAGGACGCGCAAACAGGAAGAATACGCTTTACTCGTTTATTAATATCGGTACATGGGCTGAAAAATAAAAAGAACGATGCGAGTAACAGCTTACGGAAACAGAACGAATAACAAACACGACAGCGAGAATTTACGGGTCCTTCTGAAGGAACCAAAACCGGAGTCTTCGACTCAAAGGTCAAGCAAGGCTTTCGGTTTTTGGTTCAGTGTAATGTTTGCTGGTGCGTTGATTAATGGCCGACCATTCGGGTTCGGCCTTTAGTCCCATGCGGAACATGGAAAAGACAGCATTACATCGGCTGGGATGTGGCCAGCTTCATAGGATGACAGCTGTCCAATGAAGCGTGAAGAGTTCTCCCAGATAGCCCGCTCCCACGTCCATCTTGCGGTTTTTGACTGGTAAACTGCTCTCCTCTGTGTTTATTTGCTGAGGTGACCTCTAAAAATGAAACCCATCTCAACAACCAGGCGGACAATTCGCTAACCGGATGTACTCCATTTGTTGAAAAATAAACAAGAAAGATATTTCTTGTTGTACTTGGTCTACAATATATATCTATATATATAACACCAATCTTTACANATCTTTACAGATACGGCGCCAAATAACCATGGATGAACGAAAATATATAGGTACAAAAGCGGGGAAAATAAAACAGTCAACCACAGGGGGTAACAATTTTTTTTGTTTACTGCACGCCATTTTGAGTTTTTTTTTCGTTTTTGTTTATTTTTGGGACTTCAGACAAGAGAGGATGCATTCGCACTACTGACCTCGGTTCGATGCAATATACCGCAGTGTCTCTAGCCAAAGACAATCTGAACCTTTGGGGCCCCAGCCGGAGAGCCGAGAAACTCCAACGGAAGCCAAATCCGAGCACAATCTCGTT